GAAGCTTGTACTAACTGGATAGGCTGATGGCTCTATATCTGTCTTGAACCAGACGTTCCAGGTTCGCTACCCAACTGAGGAAATAACCTCTTCACATGTCTTGACTGCCTACACTAAAAACAGGTAGGTGGTTTCCCTTTCTCTTGACTCTAGCTCTGAAGGCGAGCTGAAGACGGTGCAGACTGTTGCTTTTCTCCACTCTACGAGCAAGCTGGAGACTTGTGACCCAACTGGCCACACTTAAAACAAGTGAAACCTCCTTAATCCTGAACTCGGCACAAAAGAAGTGGATCTAGACAGTGCTGCCTGGGACTTATCATGACCGGAATCGGCCCCTATGGATTAAGGTCATAACCGGCCAACAATCATGAGATTACTTGTCATGCCCCGTATTTTATTACTCGGATAACATTACCAATATTCATTAATTAAGTCCAATTTACAAATGACAATTCATCCTTTGATGAAATAATGAATAATTAAATATACATGTTCCATCTCGTTATACAACAATGACATTTTCATACAAATAAAAAAAATGCCGGCCTCTCTCTCTCTAGAATGTATATAATTCATACAATTCTTTACATGCATGCATATACCAACTTCAAATTCAACTCAATTCATATTCTTGATTACAATTTATCTTTGAGTTCATATAATTACAAATCAAATTCATAAATTCATGTCTAACTACTCACCTAGAGGCTCCAATCTTCCAATTTCTAGCTAGTTCTTGGGCCTAGCCTTTCAAATCTTGAATTCTCTTGCAAAAATCTACAAGGATGGCTTCTCTCCCTCTCTCTCTAAACCGGCCCTCTCTCTTTCTAATATGTGATTTCAGCCAAGATGAGTTCAAAAAAAAAAAAAAAGAATTTGAGTGTATATAGGCCTATTTATAGGCTTGGCTAATCAACTTGATGAAGGCTAAGTAATGATACTCTAATTTAATCATTCTGAATCCAATTATTTTGATCTGAATTAATCTATAATTAAATTTCACCATAGGCTCCAAAAATTATGTAAATTACAATAATACAGTCAATTTCAGTTTCTGAAACCTCTATGGTCTCCAATTTAAATTCTATAGTAGAAAATTAAACAGATCTTCCTACGGTGAACAGATAGAAATTCAAAAACACATATAATCATATAAATAGCACTCAAAATCATATTAAGCACATAATCACAATCATAATCAAGATTAATTAACATAATACGAGACAGGGTTATCACAATCTTCCCTCCTTTAGCAAGTTTGGTTCTCCAAACTTATTTTACCTTTGTCCGGAAACAGATATAGATAGCATAGTCGCATCTCATCTTCTTTTTCCCATGTAGCGTCTTTTCCATAATGTTCTTTCCATTCTACTTTCACCATAGGGATGGACTTATTCCTCAACTATTTCACTTGTCGGTCAATGATTTGTTATGGCCATTCTTCGTATTCCATATTCTCATCCAAAGCTATTCGGTGGTAATCAATCACACGATGGGGATCCCGAAGGTAACCCCTTAACATTGATACATGGCACACATTGTGTATTTGTTCGAATTCTGGTGGTAAGGAGATTCTGTAAGCAACCGGACCAAGTCTTTCCAGATTTTGAAACGGCCCAATATAACGAGGTGACAATTTGCCTTTCTTACCGAACCTCAACTAGCCCTTCATCAGAATCACAAGAATAAACACATGGTCGCCAACCTCATATTCAAGATGTTTCCTTCGAACATCAGCATTATTCTTCTGCCGGCTTTGTGCTGTCTTGAGCCTTTCTTGGATGATTTTAATCTTCTCGGAAGTGTCTTGCACAATTTCGGGCCGCCCTATCTCTGACGTCTATCCAACAAATTGGTGATCTACACTTCCTACCCACGCAAAGCTTCGTATGGTGCCATACCAAAGCTGGAGTGGTAGCTGTTGTCGTATGCAAAATCTACTAATGGCAAATAATCCTCCCAACTCCGTTGAAAATCTAAAGCACACATTCTGAGCAAGTCCTCCAAGGTCTGTATGGTCCGTTCTGATTGCCCTTCTGTTTGTGGATGGAATGCAATACTAAATCTCAATTCTATTCCCATAGCTCTTTGCAAACTTTTCCACAATCTAGATACAAATTTTGAATCTCTATCCTAGACAATGGACACCAGAACCCCATGCAGGCAAACAATTACATCAACATATATAGTAGCCAATCTATAAGCATCAACTGCAGTTCTAACAGGTAGAAAATGTGCAGATTTAGTTAGTCTATCAACTATAACCCAAATAGAATCCATATGTCTAGGAGTTCGAGGTAGGCCAACAACAAAATTTGTGGTCACATGTTCCCACTTCCATTCTGGAATAGGGAAAGGTTGAAGTAGGCCACCTAGTTTCTAGTATTCAGCTATAACTTGCTGATATTGAAGGCACTTGGACACGTACTCTGCAATTCCTTTCTTTATTTTGGGCCACCAATGACTTTGTTTCAAGTCTCGATACATTTTGTTGTTACCCGGATGCATAGCAAATATCGACTTGTGAGCTTCATCTAAATTGTCTTTCTCAGTTCCAGAATGTTTGGGACATAGATTCGGTATTGAAAACTCAATACTTCGCCTTCAATGCTGAATCCTGGTTTCAAATTTGCCTCAAATTCATCAATTATTTTCTTGAGGAACTCATCCTCTTTTTGCCTTTGCTTAATTTCATTAATTATTGTTGGTTCAGCTGAAATAGAGACCACCAATCCGTTTTGTTTATGCAACACAACTTCAATCTCGGTTCTCTCAAAATCTAGCAAAATTTCCTTTTGTTCAATAAGTAAGCAAGCTAAATTCCCCGTCAATTTTCTGCTCAAGGCATTAGCAACTGTATTGGCTTTCCCGGGGTGATACTGAATCTGAAGATCATAGTCTTTTATTAGTTCAAGCCATCTTCTGTGTCGCATATTCTGCTCCTTTTGAGTAAAAAAGTATTTTAGGCTTTTGTGATCTTGGTAAATTTCACATTTCCCCCCATACAGGTAATGCCGCCAAATTTTTAGAGCAAATACAACTGCATCCAACTCCAGGTCATGTGTCGGATAGTTCTTCTCATGTGGTCTCAATTATCAAGAGGCATAACCAATTACTCGTCCATCCTGCATTAACACACAACCCAGACGCTTATAAGACGCATCACTGAAAATCACAAAGTTTTTCGTACCTGAGGGCAATCTCAAAACTAGTGCAGTGGTTAGTCTCGTCTTCAACTCTTGAAAGGCAGCCTCTCTTTCATCAGTGCACTCAAATGGTTGTCCTTTACGTATGAGTTGGGTAAGTGGTACAACTATTTTTGAAAAGTCATTCACAAATCTCCTGTACTACCCAGCTAAACACATGAAACTGTGGACCTCTGTTACATTCGTCGGTGTCGGCCAATTCACAATTGCCTACTGAAATCCCATTCCATTGATGACATATCCTAAGAAAATAACTTCATCCAACCAAAATTCACATTTCTTTAGTTTGGCAAATAATTTCTTTTCTCTAAGTGTTTGCAAAACAATTCTCAAATGTTGTTCATGTTCAGGTCTATTCTTCAAATATATCAGAATATCATCAATAAATACTACAACAAATTCATCGAGGTAAGGTTTAAAAATTTAGTTCATAAGATCCATAAATGTTGCAGGGGCATTAGTCATTCCAAATGGCATAACAAGGAATTCATAATGGCCATACCTCGTTCTAAATGCGGTATTCTCAACATCCTTTGCCTTTACCTTCAATTGGTGGTACCTGGATCTCAAATCAATTTTGGAAAACACTTGTGATCCCTGCAACTGGTCACACAAGTCATCAATACGGGGTAAGGTGTATTTATTCTTTATTGTTACCTTGTTCAATTCACGGTAGCCAATACACAAGCGTAAGGTTCCATCCTTCTTTTTCACAAATAATACTGGTGCACCCCATGGTGAAGTACTTGGTCGAATAAACCCTTGTCCAGTAGATCTTACAACTGTTCCTTTAATTCTTTCATTTCAGTAGTAGCCATTCTATAAGGAGTTTTAGAAATAGGCTGAGTGCCTGGCACAACTTCAATGGTAAACTCTATTTCCCTGTCAACCAATTCTCCTAGCAATTCATCTGGGAACACATCTGGAAATTCTCTAACAATAGGAATACTGTTCAATTCAACATTCATAGATTGTCCAGATAACACACAACACAAATAACCCTGGCACCCTTTCTAGATCAATTTTCATGCTTTCATTGTAGATACCAAATAAGGTGGAGGCACAACACCATTACCCACAAACACAATTTCTTCCTGCCCCGATGGTTTAAATACAACCCGTTTCATTACACAATCAATGCTGACACAGTATTTAGTTAACCAGTCCATGCCCAGGATTACATTCAAATGTCTAAACTCCAAGGGTAATAAATCTACATACAAGGTAGCATTCCCAATACGCAAATCATAGAATCGACATACAGATGTACACAACACAGATTCCCCAGATAGAGCAGATACACATAACAAATACGACAATGACTCTAAAGGTCTACTCAATCTGGATACAAATGCATAAGTTAACAAAAGAGTGTGTCGATCCGAAGTCGATTAATACAAAAACATCCTGGTTGCATATAGAGATAGTTCCTAAGATAACAATTTTTGTGTTCTGTGTATCGCCCGGAACAAATGCAAAGACTCTCCCTTGCCTCACGGTATCTCCAATAGTAGTAGGTCTTGTAGTGTTTCCTGGTTTCGGAATTGATGCAATTGAGCTAGCAGTTAACTTCCCACTGCTTTGATTACAATCTCTGGCCATGTGCCCTATCTTACCACACTTAAAATAAGACCCTGATATACGGTAACAAACCCCATGATGCCTTTTTCCACACTAGTTGCACATTGGAGATGTGTCTCTGGAGGAATTCGAGATGCTTGAGGAGCCCGTATTCTGCTTTTTTGAAAAGAAGCCATGTCTTTTACTACTTTTCTAGTTAGTTAATGAGTTTGCCTATATGGCTATATTAGCTTCTAATATTATGGCCCGATCTAACACTTCGATATAGGTTTCCAGCTTGAGTACATTCACTTTGTCTAAGATATCATCCCGAAGACCTCCCTCAAAATGTCTTGTTTTCTTATAGTCGGTATCGACCACGTGTGGTGCAAATCTAGCCCATTCAGTAAACTTGGCCTCGTACTCGGCTACTGTCATGCTATTTTGCTTCATTTCCATGAACTTTGATACTTTCCTATCACAAACACATTGCGGAAAGTATTTGTCGTAGAAAAGTTTCAAAAATTGTGCCCAGCCTATATTTTTATTATCCTCCCAAATCAACATCCACCACCTCCTTGCTTCGTCTTGTAATATGAAAGTGGCTAGCATCACTTTCTGTGTTTCTAGACAAGGAAACACTTCAAACAGCTTTTCTATGCCAAGGACCCATGTTTTAGCCTTCAACATATTCAATCCCTCATGAAACTGTGGCGGTTTCATCTTCTTGAACTCTTTGGTGAGAGCTATTGTTCGGTCATCATTTTGCAAATCTGGTATAGGTGGTGCCAGAGGTGGAGGTGGAGGTGGAGGTGGAGGTGGAGGGTGTGGCTGTTGCCATTGTTGTTGCCACTGTTGTTATTGTCTCAATGTTTTTGTCATTTCCTGAATCAATCTTTCCATCCTATCCATTTTGGCAGTAGAGGACTCCTCTAATTCATCACCTCTTATTCTCACCATTATTTGATTAAACTTGCATTATTCTTGTAAAGACCCCAAAATGCATATAAGAAATCATTGGTATTTAATTATGAGATGAGGTGTTTTAATTTAATTATATCTTTTGGAATTGAAGCATTATCTATTGAGTTACGGCTTTAAAATTGAAATTACCGACCTATATGGGTTCAGAAATCAAAATTGAGTACTTGGATATGTTAATGGGAATTTTTGAAACTATTTGGGACAATTAATTGAAAATCTAATTTGTCTGATTCGTTAATGTACGTTTGAGTAGTTAACTTTATACTGCAAATTGAAGGCATTAGAGGCTTCAGAAACCAGAACAGGGGACATATTTATGATCCTCATAATTTTTAGAGTTATCTGGGAAGTTTAATTGAAATTTGATTTCGTACGAATCGTAAGGCCACGTTTGGCTCTCTCTATTGTGTTATGTTGGTGTGTATGTTTATACTTATATTATGGGTGCCTTATGAGTGGATGGACTCATCTCTTAGAATAAAAAAAAATATATATCTAGAGGAAAGGGGGAGCCACGTGAGAGAGGGAGAGATAGAGAACTCAAGGAGAAGAAGGAAGGAAGAGCTTGAGAATGAAGAGGAAAGATGGGGAAATTGATGGAATTACTTCAAGAGATTGGCTCTAGGTATGTGAAATCAACTTAACCCCTTAAGATTGATTTATTACTAGCTTAAATTCATGATCTCAAATGAAGAGAAACCACCTATTTGAGTTGGGGTTGATAGATATAAGTTTAGATGAACTCCTTTCATGAATTGAACCTTGATTCCTTAAGAGTTGGTTAATTGAAGAATTAAAGTCATTATATTTGTTTATTTTGAGGTTATGATGTTTGATGGAGAATTATAATGCGAAATTGGTCATGTATTAAAGGGTTTTGGGCTTTGATTTACATGTAATTAAGGTTTGATTTTGAAAATGAGAAGTCCCAAATTTTCAGCCATTTTCGGATTGCAAACTGTCCAGCGCCGCACGTGTGGCACTGTTTCCCCGCACGTGTGGAGACAGCTCTGTCCAGCCAACTTTGAACAAGCATATCTTTTGCATTCGGACTGCGTTTTGAGTGATTCTTGAGCCTAAAATCAAGCCCCGGAAATATAGTTTCCAATGGTGGTGGTCTCACTCCAAAATTATAAATAAAAAAAAATAGTTATGCCCAAATTAGTGACGACTGTTCACTCTCTGTTTACCGGTTTGTACCGTTTCTTTGCCTGAACCTTTCTCTTATCGATTCCTCCTATCTTATGAGGCATGGATTATAACCTATGGTGGACTAATGAGTCTAGAACCACCATAGCTATTGAGTGAAGAATAAAAAGAGATTGGTTTTATTCTCATAATCTGTTATATGCATTGTGTTTGTAGGTCAAGACGAGGACATCGTTCCACCGCTATCAGAGACCTACCGCTGTGAGTAGTAGTACTATAGTCGCACGTTCAAGTATTGTTAATGATTCTCATTGTTAACATTCTATCCCTTGCAAGTAATTAAGTTAACAATATGTTGATTGGAAAATCTAGAGGCATTATTGAGCAGTCCATTCTGTTTACTGTTGACAATGAATACTAACTTTCTGTTATTTACAAGATAGCTACAGTGATTCATGACGAACAAATAGAACGTATGAGCATTATGGAACTATGGTATTCCGGTATCTCTAGAATCATTCAATTGGTAAAATGTGTTTACCTTTCGTTAATAATTATCAAGAACGTTCTGTTAAACTTAAGTTAACTGCATTAACTCATGTGAATGATGCAATGGTTACTATTAGTACTCTGTTAATTGTAGATCAACCATGTTAACATATATGAACGATTAAACAAATGTGTATGTTACTGATTAATAGCTCAAGTGAACCATGTCATTTCTTAATGAATAAAGAGAATTTGTGTTCATCTTCGAAGAATCAGAATAATTGGAAATTTATGTGAATCCATATGAATCTGAAGTTATTTTGTTATGTTACATATGAACTCGAAGTTATTTAGAATCTACAATATGAACGCAAAATTTTAACATCATTATGTGACCCACATAAGAATGTGAATTATTCTATTTTGTTAAGCGCACGGTAATGACATGATATACCAAGAAATGCTCTATTTTATGATATGTTACGTTATGAATTAATGAATGATTATCCATATATGTAAAGGTACTCATGGCATCCTTAGCACAAGGCCCTTGCCCGGGGGTAATAATACCGTGGTCTTATGGCCCTTGCCCGGGGGTAATAATACCATGGTTCAAGTATGTTACAAGATATCTCTTGCCACCGACGGTCTTGTACGAGTGGGTTATGTTTTGCCATCGACGGTCTTGTACGGATGGTACCACCGAGGGTCTTGTACGGGTGGATTATGTTTTTCCATCGACGGTCTTGTACGGATGGTACCACCGACGGTCTTGTACGGATGGATTATGTTTTACCATCGACGGCCTTGTACGGATGGTACCACCGACGGTCTTGTACGGGTGGGTTATGATCAAGCATAAGTAAGAATATGTATGAATATGTTTTTATTTATCCGTTCTGTTTATGCTATGTTATAACATGATATGAATTGATCGGTCTTTAAGACCTAATGATTTCTGGTATGGAACAAAGTGTTGTACGGAACTAAGTGCTGCAATGTGAGTCACCTCTAGAATCCGTACAAGCCACCTCTTGAGTCCATACATATGTTCAAGGGCTTAATGCCAACTTTTCAAGGGCTTCATGCCATATGTACAAGGGCTTTCTGCCATATGTTTAAGGGCTTCATGCCATATATTCAAGGGCTATATGCCAACATGTGTAAAAGCTTAATGTTAATATGTTCAAGGGCTATCGCCAATCCATTCAAAGGCTTAAAGCCATTATGTTTCAAGATTGGGCCTAAGGCCGTTTTGAAATTAGTACAGAATCAGATTAATTATATGATGCCCGCATTTACATACGCATTGATATGTATTATGATTAAGTTGAATATTGAATCATTTATGTACTATTATTCACTGAGCTTCGCTCACTTTGTGTTATGTCTGTTCTGTAGGTAATTACTTTGGGAGTCCATCTTAACCCTTGATGCTCACCCTCAATTGTCAACCTCAGTATGCCCAGACTCCCAGAGCAAGCCCATGCATTTATGTGAAGTTTTGTTAAGAGTTTGGCTTGCACTTTAATTATTTACTTAAGGTTAAAATGTATGTATATACCCCCTTTCTTTACCAATGTTCGGATATACGCTCATTTATATGTATGGGTATGTATATAGATAAATGGCTCTCACGAATGTGATCCTGGCATGTTAGTTTTAGCTTAATGGATGTTATTCTATGTTACTTTGTAATATTAAATGCTTCCGTTCAGGCCCCGTATATTATGTATATCAGGTCATGTGTCCGTATCTGGATAGGTCATGCTCGAACTTTTAGGGGCGAGTTTGGGGCTTGACAATTCTTCATACAAAACATTCACAAGTATGCATATACAAATGGGCACATGTATTCAAATAATTCACAATACAAGTAAATCACAAATCATATAGCACATAGTCATTTATTTCGAACATTAAGTACATTCTCGATATCTTCAAGTTTTTATTTATCACACGAATGCATCCTAGATCTTTTCTATATGCTTATTTGTCATTTGAACAAGTGTGTGAGTTATTAACTCGTGCTTTGATGCTACTCTATCATGACCAGAATCCGCCCCTATGGATTAAGGTCATAATCGGCCAGCAATCATGAGATTACCTATGGCCTCAAACAAAGTCAGACTTATATAAGGGGCCAATCAGAAGCAGACTAAAAAAATTTTGTCCAACGAGCTGTGCTTACATGGTAAAACAAACACTCCAGAAACAGTTTATAATAACTCACACATGAAGTCAAAATTAACATCTTATGTATCCAGGAACTTTGAACATGCAATCAGCCAAACCAAAAGCTTATATACATGGTGATCCAACATATTCACCAACGTAACAAAAGGGAATAAAAAATAAAATAAACAAAACAAAGTCTCATTTGTGAGACGTTCGGGCTGACTCCACAAAAACTTGACTCCTCTCGTGTCTTTCATTGGGGCTAGGTTTGGACATCTCTTTGCTCAGCTACACACACATAAATGAGAGTGAGCGATAGTCCAGTAAATAATATCAAAATAAAGGAGTACATGAATGAAATTTGTAGTAGTTGTATCAAACGGCCTTAGGCCCATTCATGATTCTATCTAATACATCAAACGACCTCAGGTCCAAACATATCAAACTGCCTCAAGCCCAATTCATTCTTATCAAACAACCTCGGGCCCAATTTGCTCATGTCAAGCGGCCTTTGGCCCATTCATTCATGTCAAACGGCCTTAGGCCCAATTCGTTGATGTCAAACGGCTTTTGGCCCAATCATTCATGTCAAACGGCCTTAGGCCCAATTCGTTTATGTCAAACGGCCTTTGGCCCAATCCTTCATGTTAAGCAGCCTTTGACCCAATTATTCATCTTCATATTCGTATTTATGTGTGTCACATTTTTGTGATCATGATCATATTCGTATTCAATTAGTCTTATGCAAAAGACTAATTTATCCACAATCCAAAATACAAATCCATAAGACTCATACAGAAGTAACGTTTAGAAAATAACGTACTTGAACATATCTTTAACAAGATATTACTAACAGTGATCTGGTGGATGATTTGCCCTTGTGCTTGACCCTAAATATATCACAAATATAATGGGTCACAAGCGATTCAATTCGTTCTTAATTTATATATTCCTCTTAGGTCTCTTTCTTATCTTCTTAGTCCATTTACAATTCTCAATGTATGCCTAAGAGTGCTTAGAAATGAAAGAGAATAGAAAACAAAACACAAAACCACTTTTCAAAATTTCTGAAACAGGGTTCTCCGCTTGAGAGCAGCTTTGGTCGCTCGAGTGGACCCCTTTGGTATGCAAAAGTTCTGGTTGCCTGCAATTTACGCTCGAGCGAGGAGTCATCCAAAGCAGGGTACGCTCGAGCGCAGATTCGGCCACTCAAGCCAACATGAAATCTCTGCAAAACTTTTAGGAGCTAAGTTTTCACGCTCGAGCGAGACTTTCCTCGCTTGAGCGGACCAGTCGAATTTTGGATTTTCCAAAATTCTGTCTAAGCTTCAAAACACATCTTTAAATGTCCAAGGCCCATGTTCTTGATATAAGATCATGGAAATTTTTATACAACATGAGGACATAAGCAAATTGAGTCTAATTTGGCCAAACTCATAATTAAAAACCCAAATTATTTCACATTTTTCTTGACAACCTCATAACACAAGTTACCAAACTTCATATCTGTCACACCCCGAACCTGCCCCTATGGGTTAAGGCCATAATCGGCCAGTAATCATGAGATTACCTACGGTCTCAAAACAAATAAGACAAAACTCATCAGAGTAAAAGGGGCCGAACGGAAGCAATTTAAAACTTTGTCCATAGAGCTGTGCTTACATGCACGTCATAACATTCCAGACATAAATATATTAAGAACTCACAACAAAATTATAGTACCAAAAAGTTCCATACAACAGGATCATCCAAAACTAAGTCAACCAGTGGGAACTATATACAGACATGTACAAAGGCTTCGCCAACATGACAAAATTACATAAAATGGCAAAAAGGCGAAGATGTGTCTCGTACGTGAGACGCAAAGGCTGACTCTCCAAACCTTAGTTATTTCATATTGGCTTCAATGGGGCGGGGTCTGGACCTCTCTTAGCTCACCTACAAACACATGAATGAGCTTGAGCAATAGCCCGGTGAATAATATCAAATAATGAATATACATCAGAACAATATACATCGAACGGCCTTGGGCCCAATTTGCATTTCTAACTAACACATACATACATACATAAACATATGTAAGTTAAGTAACTGAGGTTCCAAACACATCATACGGCCTTGGGCCGAATTCATTTGTATTATTCAGATCAAACTAGCCTTTGCCCCATTCGTTTATGTCAAAACGGCCTCTGGCCCATTCGTTTATGTCAAAACGGCCTCTAGCCCATTCATTCATGTCCATCGGCCTTCGGTCCAATTGTTTATGTCAATCGGCCTTCGGCCCACATTTATGTCAAACGGCTTTTGGCCCACATTTATATCAAACTGGCTCATAGGCCTTTCATATCAAACTAGTTCAGAGGCCTTTCCTATCAAACTGGCTCACGGGCCTTTCGTATCAAACTGGCTCATAGGCCTTTCATATCAAACTGGCTTACAAGCCTTTCGTATCAAACTGGCTCATAGGCCTTTCGAATCAAACTGGCTCATAGGCCTTTCGAATCAAACTGGCTCATAGGCCTTTCGTATCAAACTGGCTCATAGGCTTTTCGTATCAAACTGGCTCATAGGCCTTTCGTATCAAACTGGCTCATGAATTCATAATCAATCACTTACCTAAGAGCTCAATCTTCTCAATCTATGGTCTAATTTAGAGTTGGACTTCAATTCTCCAAGCCTTAAGACCAAAATTGCACAATTTTCCCCTTAATCTCCCATAGCCGACCCTCTCTCCCCTTTTCTTAGAGTTCTTATTAGCCAAAAATGAGAATTAAAGAGGGAGTTTGCGTGTATAAAGTCCTTTACAAGCTCCCACTTACACATTAATTCAATATAAAGCAATTGGGCACTAATTAATCAATTTAATCAGTTTAATCTGACCGGAATCAATTTTCAATTAAATTCCACCGTAGGTTCTAAAAATTATGCCAATCACAATGGCGTAATCAATTTCGGGTCCTGTGGCTGATAAGGCCTTTAATTTAATTTCCAAAGCAGATAATGAAATAGATATTCCTACAGTGGACAGATAGAAATTCAAAACTACATAATGGCACACAAAATCATATTAAACACATAATCACACTCATATTAAGGACCAATTAACATATTACGAAACAGGAGTATTACAGTCTTCCCCCCTTTAGGAAGTTTGGTCCTCTAAACTTAATTTACCTTCAGTCGAACACAATTCGGAATACTTTCTTATTCAATGGTTCCAATCCTTTCGATAGTTATCTGCTTAGTTTCAAAATCAAGCAACACTTGTTCTCAATCAGTCAAAGACTTACTTTTTCTTCCATACCAGGCTTGTATGGTATCACACCAAAACCAAAGTGCAGGCTGTTGTTGCAAGCAGAGTCTGCCAGTGATGGACAGATTTTTCCAACTTCCCTGAAAAATCTAATTCACATCTATGGAGCATTTCTCCCAAAAATCTAAAAGTTCTTTCTGATTATACATCAATTTGCGGATGGAAAACAGCGCCAAATCATAATTCAGTCCCCATTGCCTCTTGAAGGCTTGTCAGAATTCAATCACATTTTAGAATTTCTATCAAAATAATAGGTACTGGGACCCCATGCAAACGAACAATCCTATCGATACAAACATTGGTTAGTCTACCAGTCATCATACAAAAATTTTACAGGGAGAGAACGAGCAAACTTCGTAATCCTACATACAATAATCCAAACGGGACTTATAGCTTGCATGCCCAAGGTAGCCCCACAATGAAATTCGTAGCCACATATTCCTACTTTCGTTCCAAAATAGAGAGAGAGTGAAGTAGTTCCGCCAATATCCAATGTTCAACTTTGACTTGTTGGTACTGAAAACATTTAGACATGCATTCACCAATTGCCCTCTTCAAGGTAGGTTACCAACATATTTATTTCAAATGTCAGCTAACTTTATCACAGAAGTTCGGTCTATTCCCTTGTCACAAAAGTTCAATTTATTCTTCAACAATTCCACAATTCACAACCCGATTCAGTATTTAGTTTAGTGACTCATCACAGTTATCCAAGGTCAATCAAAAGTTTTCAGGAATATAAAGTAGATCCAGACACCGATTCCCGAGTCAACAAGGGTAACGACAAAGCAATGAACCACATGGCATACATAACTCATAGCTCCCCATGGCATCGATTGTAAAATGCAATAACACTGAAACAGTCCATTTCTAACATAATACATGTTTTTTCAATCATTCAACAGTTTACAATTCGGTTCACATTCAATTCCCTGTTCTATTGAGTCTCCCCAC